TGAAACGAGGGCATCTGAGCTGGGTTGCTTATTTCAGATCTGAACTTACAGCACCCTCTAAGGTGTAAGAGATCTCCCTCCCTGCAAGCATCCCAGAATAGTCCTTCACAGCCACATCACCCTGGACACGTTGTCACTTGACATGACCTCTTAATCCACAGATTGGTGAGATTTCAGATAGAGCTTGGCTGGCTTTGAACAGGAACAGCATGACTTCAGAACTTATGGAATGAATTAAACAGCCAATTTTCTACTTTTCAGCAACAAAAATAAACATGACTATAAGTGGGACCTCAGCAAGAGTATAGTCCTAGAAAATATGGCTGCAATCCATCATTTATTAAATGCTACTTTCATGTGGCATTTTACGAAGCATTTTTCTAAGGGTTATTGAGACATGAACCCTGCTCTCTCAACAAGTTACAATCAAAACCATATTAACATCAAAATTTATTTAAAAACTATTTGGTAAACTCCTTCTGTGTGCCAGGCACTCTGTCCTGTACTGGGGATGTGGAGTTGACCCAGTACTGCCTCTCTATTCACAACATAAGAGTTTGGAGATGGAGATACCATATTATGTAGATGACACAAATGCCACAGCATCATGCTCTATTGTCTAGCTAAGGACATTATGCTGCCCAGCACAGTGCCTGACATAAAGTACCGAATAACTATGTATTGGATAAAATCAGCAAAATAAAAGGAATGAATACATGCTAAGATCGAATAAATATTGAGTGCTATGGAAAATTGTAGGAGGAGAGACTAAACTAGTTTGAGGGGGTTAACTGCAGAAAGTGTCATTTACACTGAGAGAGGAGTCAAAGAGTATAATGATGTGAAGGATGTTTTCCATGCTTATGGAGTTAGACCTGGGTTCAAATCCTAGCAGTGCCATTCATGAGCTGGGCAGTGCTAACTATTCTGAACTTCATTCTCTGCCTCTGTAAAACACTGATCATGTCATTAAAGGCTGTTTTGAGGACTAAATGAGAAATGAGTTATCTATGTCTGACACACAGAAGACCCTCAACAATAGCTATTAGAGGAGTCACAGAGAACGAAATTTCAACATTAAAGCAATAAATACCTAAATAGTAAGGTTAAGGGCACAAATATTTCAAGGGATGGGCAGCAAGAGTAATCTTAAGTCATGGTGGAAGGAAAGGAGAGGTGCTACAGGAGTTCTTAGCCCCTCAGTGCAGACGGGGGAGGAGGGGGGCAGATGACTTACAGGAGTCTGTCTTCTTCTTCCAGTCCATCCCGGAAGCCGTTTGTATTCGGCTTTCAGCTGCAGACCCACGTGGTCCTGCCTGGCCCATGCACAGGATGGTAAATACCTTTTCAGATAATCAGATAATCTTAGGGTGTTGTGATTTAATGCTCAGCATGGATGTTTGATACAGACTATGTATATACGTGTATGTATAGAATATTCTCCCTGTAAGTTCTTGCTGTAATTAGCTTTCATTTCTTTTACCCTAAATATCCACAAATATACCAGATTTTTTTCTTCTGTTCTTTCCATCTCTGTACATCAAGCCCTTTCCTGCTGCATTAGGACAATTAAAACACACACACACACACACACACACACACACACACACACACACGCCTTACTGGCTTCAACTCTTTTTAGGTGATCTTTTGGGAAATGCCCTGAGGTAAACTGGATTGTCAGACATGCTTATGTAGTGAGGGGGAAGGGAAGGGAGAAGACACTAGCAGCCAACTTTTGATTTTGGTTTTCAGTCCATAACATGAGGCAGAACGTGGCAAAAAATGTCAAACAAGACAGTGAGAGAGACTGAAGAAAGGAGGTGGTGGTGGCCAGACATGAAAGAAACGGCAAGACATAAAAACATTTTAGTGTGAAAGGGATAAAATTTGGGGAAAGAATTAGAGGTGTTTAAGATTATGATGGGGGAGGGAAAGCAATTGATTGGGCTGTTGAAACCATGCCAGGAACCAAGAGCCAGGGGTAGTGGCAGAGGGGACTGCCAGGTAGGACAATTAAAACGGAAATCTGGCTTCTTCCAGCACAGCATGGAGCGGGCTACAGAATTTGCTGCAGTGGGAGGTGGGGCCAGTCTGGCACAGTCTGTGGGTTTGAAAGGAGCTGGGCGGGTTGGGGAATGCCAGTCAGCCTTTGTAGTTCTGAGCTCAGAGAAGGGGTGACAAATACTGGGCTTCAGGTCAGAAGCCTGGCTTGAGTGGCTTTTAGAGAAATCTCCCCCGTGCTCCCTAACTCTTAAAATGTGCTCATCACATCACTGGCCTCCAATCACAGCATAAACACGTGTCCTGGAGGCCGTCCTCCAGCAGAGATTTCGGCAGAGGTACCTGTTGGCTGACTAATGGGGTCCTTTCCTTTTCCTATTCCCTAGAAGCTGAAACTGGGCTGAATTCAATATTTTTGCATATTTCCTTCTCCCTTCCCACATGCTTGCATCTCCCAGACCCCTAGGGTTAATCCCCAGGACAACCTGCTTTGAAAGAAAAAATGTGGTGAGCCTACTTGAAGATTTGGATCCCAGAGGCCTCTGTCTGTCCCGCCTCAGCCAGACCCAGACAGCCAGCTCAAGGAGATGGACATTTACAGAGAAAGCAGTAAGTTTTTGTTGTTGTTTGTGTTCAAGGCTTGGTTGCTCTCCAGAATAAGGGTCCCTGAAAGCATGGGGTTGTCTTTCTTTCCTTTTTTCCTTTCTTTTTCAGCAAAAATAAATAACACCCCCTTCTCCTCCTCGAGTGATTCATAAAAGCAATTAAATAGAAAGTGCTTCTTCATCACTGCTCATGTCCTGTGTTAAAGACAGCTAAGGGTGATCTGTGTGTGACTATTGTCAACACTGTAATATTTTGAAATGTATGTGCATTTGTTAAAACAGTTTGTACTTATGGTTCTTCTCCAGAATAAATACTATATAACTGGCTGATGGATTGTCATTAGGCTGAATTTGTCCTGAAACTTGGTAGATGTCTTCTCTGAGGATTTTTGTGCATATTTGCTGCTCACCAAAGAGTAGGATAGAAAGACTTTGGAAGGAGGGTGTGGTCCAGCTGATTCAGCTTCCCTCCCAGCCCATCACTGACTCTTTCCTCCTGCTCCTCCCTCTCCTCACCTCCTACCCCAGCTCCTTAGATCTAACCCGAGCCAGCTAGCTGTCAATGAAATATCATCCACCTTTCTTTTCTATTACAGCCCCTGTTAGACTCTGTCAGGTAGTGGAATCAAACTCATAATCAAACTCATTACATCTGTGATCTCAGCATATTTTCAAACCAAGATATAGACCAGACAATAGCATTTACTCCCTCAGCTTCTCCCATCCTGGAATTTATTAGCCCAGATAATAATAACAATAATAATACTGTATTTAGAAGCTCTCTAACTTATTTCATCTTCTAAGAGTCTTACAGATGTTAACTAATTAATCTTCACAACACTCCATACAAGAGAGGTAAATATTATTAACCATGATTGAAGATACATATATGCTAAGGACAGCAAAATAGTTCACTTATTTATCATGGTTCACTTGATATAGAAACTGGTATTTTTAAAACACCCATCATAGATACAATAATTAGAGATGTGCTTTTGTTAACAAAGTCGCTACCCACTTCTAGTGTACCCTTGGGTACTAAATAATTACCCACTTTGTGTGGTTATCTAGCTCACTAATTACCCACAGAAATTGGGGTCAGGTGTTAACTGCTTGAAATAAGTATCCTCCAAAGACATCGCTGAGTTGTATAGAGAAAATGAGGTGTCCATGGTAAAACTTTTATAAGTCATATATTTGTATATCTTTGTAAGCAGAGTGAATACAGACAAGGGTGAATTAACTTAGTATATGAACATCGTGCTAAACTATTGTAAGTATAGAGAGATTTAGTAAAGTGTCGGGAATCTTATTCTCTATTTACCTTTCCTTTCTGAAGATGGGTGCCTTGACACGATTCCTACAATCTGACCTTCACGTACAAGTACACTGAGACAATTGATGACTCTAGTTAGAAATGATTCATTTTGGTGTTACAGGGAGGCACCCAGTGAGTCAAAGATTTTTTTTTTTGACAGCTCCACCCTTTATGATTATTCTAGCATGTTTCTTTTTTCTCCATCAGTCTAGTGCAAACACCCTGTTAGCCAAATCTGAAAAAGATTCTAATCCAGTCACCAACTCCTGGCAACCACCTCTTTCTCCTTTCCCAATAATGACAGAAAGAAAAAAAAAATGTATTAAAGGAAGTCCAGCACTGACTGTAGGCTGTTCTCCTTCTGCCTCTATATGTTTTCCTCTCCTGTCCCTTCTTTCTCTCTCTGTATCTCCTTCTCATTGAGCTTTTTCTGCTCCCGTTTCTTGGCATCCAGCCGTGCTTCTGCAGGTCTCACAATCAGAGACAAAGCACAACGTATGTCTGAGTTGAACACAAAGAAGCTACCTTTTAAAAACACTGACTTGGAAGAAACCTGCATCCTCAGATATCTTCTCCTTCCTTGCTATTTACAGAATGTGGCATCACATATAACACAGCACTGCCTGTTGTCTGCATGATTTTAGGCAGGAAAATTGGATTAAGATGGCAATACACCCACTGTGTGTATAGATACATAGAGACCCTAATTTTCTGGAGATGTCTGCTTTCAAGGATCATTGCATAGCGGAGCTTTGAAAATGGGTGCTAACAAAAACGATGCTCCCTTAGTCAACCGAGGATGTCTTTCTTTTTTCTTGTGCCTCTTTTTTTGGTAATCTCAAATATTACTTATCATTATCAAGGGATTTTAGGCTGATCGATGAAGTGTGTATGTATCTGATGGACACTTGAGGGGAAAAATGCTTCAGGCATAAGGAAAATGTCTGCAGTGGAAGCAAAGGGTTAGCAAGAGCTGCAGTGACTGATGAGTTTATTTTGAAATCCTAGGGAACATAAGGGGTAAATTAGTACATACTGCAAATACAATCGATGAGCAAGAACACAGTCGTTGAAAGGAGAGAAACTTTTAGCATTGTGGTCATCGCATGCCTGGACAGAGTATCTACCTGTCTTAAACATAGATATGAATCATCGCTCTTTTCTCTCTCTAAATGCTGATTTTGAAGAAATGTTTGGCCGTTCTGACTTTCTGTTCATAAAGCTCACCAACATTCACAAAATGTATCACCTGCACTTGTACACGCATGTGTTTTAAATTCCTATAGGATGTGAAGCAATTAGGAAGAGAACTGCACCCTGCTTTCTCTTCTTCACTCCTTCCCCCCCCCCCCCCCCCC